TGGTAGAGTCAGTCAAATTACGTATTAATCTAAGATCAGATAATTCGAAGTTTAAAGTGGAACGGCGCGAAACGACGTGGATCGGGCGAGCGTGAGGGAAGTACAGCGTGGGAGGGTTGAGTTGTTGGTTGTAGCGCTGTTTATCTCGGTCAGGATTGTTGGTCTGGCTCTAGTTACGAGATCGAGTTAGATAATCACGATTCGAAATGCTTTGAACCTGACACCGCGGGTCCCAAACCTGTCTACTTCGAAACATGACAAACTCAATTACTGTTACATGCAAGCACCAAAGCGTGCCTACTGTATTATCTGTCTTATTAGCAGAATGTGCCTACAGTTGACGAGAACGTGTAATAACGTGACTTGAAAACGCTATTTGATCCGGAGGAATTATTGACAGGTCAAATGTTTGTTTGAATATAATCGAATTGCATTCCGGAATTTGGTCCGAAGCTCATTCAAGAATCTTGAACTCTGACTGAACAATATCTTAAATTAACTTCGGCTTCAGTTCAGACAAATATCGCCAGAATTGTATCGTTTGCTTATCGAAACTAAGGACCCTTTCAAAAGTTTAATGAGGAATTGACTTCTAATCATCATTATCATCATAAGGTCGTAAGTCTTAAGACTGGTTGGACACGCACTTCCACTCTTTCCTATCCTGAGCTAATCTTCGTATTTCCCTTAAACTAGAACATCCCACATCTTTAACTATTTGCTAAAGTAATCTAATTTAGGTCTACCTCTATCTCTCCTAACTTCCGTTTCTGCCTCTAATATGTCTCTGACTAGACCTTCATGTCCTACTAATCTATCTCGCCTATTTCTTATTGACTTCCGTAGAGTTCTCTGTTCTCTTACTCTATCTAATATCTCTTCATTTCTAACCTTCTCTATCCACGTTATCCTCATTATTCGCCTATAACACCACATATTCAACGCTTCTAAGCGTTTCTTTTCCACCGCGCCCATGTTTCGCACCCTTACAGCACCGTTCTCCAAACATATACCTTTAACAAGTTTTTTCGAATTTCTAAATTAACCGTTTTTTATGGAAGGCGACTCGACCCTGCGTTATTCTCTGCTTTATATCCCTACTACTCCTTCCGTCCTGACTTATCTGACTTCCTAGATACCTAAAATCGGCCACCTCTTTTAATTTTTCGTCTCCTATTTTTATATTCGCTCTTTCCATGGTATACCAGTATTTTTGTTTTACTTCTGGACTCAACAAAAGAGAAAGAGCAGCACGTTTTCATGTCAAAATTTTATTTACGATTATATCAACTAGTACCTACATGAAAATTTCAGAAAAATCTAAAAACTGTCGTACATTGAAAAGATAAATCGAGAAATGGTTGCTAAACCTTAGTATTATCCAATAAAGAACGGATGTGAAAGGTACTGAACGTCTCAAGCAATTTATAAATATCTTGTGCAGATAAAATTGATAGAGGTAGTTCTGAATCTCATGAAAATGACCGAGCGGCATGGCCTAGAGGTCTAGACCATTGCTTAGCATTCGGGACGCCGGTTCGATTCCGGGTCTGTCCGTCTGCCTTGGTCCAAGTTTTTCTGTGGTTTCCTTGGATCACTTAGTCAAATGCTGAGGCAGTAATATTCCACAGATAATCTTTCATTCTCTTCTGTCTTCATTTCGTCCGTCTCAACTTTCTCACCCGAACCACCATCCACCCATTCCCACGATTCCTGAAAGCAGGCTAAAGAGGGCCTTCCGCCCTACCTTCCGGCATAGCCCGGAGGGACTGCCCGCCCACCAGCATTACTGGCTGGTGGGAATGAAACACCCAAAAGTTTTTTTTTTCTCATGAAATTTGGTTATGGGTTGCGCAGTGACAAAACTCTCCCCATTTAGAGTTTTACCCTCTTAAAAACATTGTTTACAGTAAATTTCAAGCACAGCCCCTGATGGTTATATGTATAGCGAGAAATATAAACAATTAGCAGTCAAGTCAATGTTTTTATAAGGTTCGCCTCTGATACATGTGGGGGCCCATGAGATTTTAAATTGGCTCTATATTCAACACAATACTTTAGTGATTTTCTGCTTTTTATATTTGATTTTTTTCTGTGAATAACAGCCTAACTGAGATACTTGACGAATACTGACAGCTTTTCCTACAAGGGGAGAATTTAAGACTACTTCTTACATTTTAGCTGCTCATAGGTACTTTGTTTTTTTTGATGTAGGTAGTTCTTTACACTAACTACTTATAGCGCCTCAGTAATAAATGTATAACTATCTATCTCAAATTCTGTCATTTTGGCCAATTTGATTATGCTTTTAACTCATTTTGTTTAATTTTCCGAAAAAACAAATCATTTGGTATTAATTGATACTGCACATGACATTGACTCTATTTGATAAAGCTTTTTATATGCATATTCTTATATTTTATATACGATACCGTTGAAGCTTTAAGTTGTAAGTGCTTTCTACGATTTCTTTTTGGCACTGCTTTTTCTGAAATCGGCGAGAAATTAATTTNTAATTGCTTTCTCTTGAATTCTGTACTATCTAATTCTGCGTATTCCTATAAACTAGTGTCTTCACCCTCTCTCTCACTACTTTTCCTTCTAGAACCTTCTATCAAATCTACTAACAACCCTGTCCTATAAATACTCCAAAATTTCATATCTCAAGTCACCGAGCGGCATGGCCTAGAGATCTAGACCATTGCTTAGCATTCGGGACGCCGGTTCGATTCCGGGTCCGTCTGCCTTGGTCCACGTTTTTCTGTGGTTTCCTTGGATCACTTAGTCAAATGCTGAGGCAGTAATATTCCACAGATAATCTTTCACTCTCTTCAGAGACATATTGTAGCAGAAACTGGAGTTAGAAGGGCTAGAGGTACTGTTCGCAAATAGTTAAGGATGTGGGTTGTTCTAGTTTTAGACGGAGCGGATGGCCTAGAGGTTTAGACCATTGCTTAGCAATCGGGAGGACGCCGGTTCGATTCCGCGTCCGTCTGCCTTGGTCCAANGACTTAGTCTACGGAAAAGACTATCGAAATTTTATTATTTTATTGCTTCCTGAGTACCGGATGGAATCGAATCAATCTTTATCGCCCTTTATTGCGAAACTGGAATGATTCTTGCAACTTTGTTACTAGTGGGTACCTAACAGAAATGAAAGTCAATATATCGAGGCAATAAATGAATGCAGTTTGAAATTGATTTGCGCCGTATAGATACATCTGACAATGTGACCAATCTCTAAAGGTAAGAACTAAACAACACCAATTAATGCAGTAATAGTATGTATTCCAAATAAACTCAGTAACAGCGGTTTAATCGAACATTGCTGAAATTTCATTATAATTTAGATAAGGAAAATGTTTAACTCCTACACACTACAACAAACAATAAATACAAATTACTATCACAAATCAGTGTGATGAGATAAGTGGATTTTTTTTAATTTGGTACCTAGATCATTAGTTACAAATATAGAAGAGTGATACTTAGTTTGCATAAAGAGCAACAGGAAGTTATAGAACTGGGGCCACAACGTAGAGAAGCAAATATTAGGAAGCGAGTCAGATAGGGATGCACACGGTTACCACTACTTTTTAATCTATACATCGAAGACGCGATCAACATCATTAAAGGAACAGATATACAGGGGCAAAATATTAGTATGCTTAGATTTACAGATGATATGGCAGTATTAGCATCTAGCAAGGAGGAGTTACAGATAGCTTTAAATAAAATGGAAGTGGTATTAACAAAACATTATTGTATAAAAATAAATGAAGGTATAACAAAAATACTGGTAGGTAAGCAAGGGAAGAGAAAGAGCGAATATAAAGATAGAAGACGAAAAATTAGAAGAAGTGGCCGATTTTAGGTATCTAAGAAGTCAGATAAGTCAAGACGGAAGGAGTAGTAGGGATATAAAATAGATGATAGCGCAGGGTCGTGTCGCCTTTAATAAAAACAAGTCACTTCTATGCCCGCGAGCGGTTAATTTAGAAATTCAAAAAAGGTTGTTGAAGGTGTATGTATGGAGTTCTGCGCTGTATGGGTGCGAAACATGGACAGTGGGCGCGGTGGAAAAGAAAAGGTTAGGGCCGTTCGAAATGTGTTGTTACAGGATGAGGATACCAGGGATAGAGAAGGTTAGAAATGAAGAGGTATTAGAAAGAATAGGCGATCAGAAGATTCTATGGAAGTCAAAAAGAAATACGCGAGTAAGGTTAGTAGGACATCTTCTCAGGCATGAAGGTCTAATCAGAAACATATTAGAGGCAGAAACGGAAGTTAGAAGGGGTAGAGGTAGACCTAGATTAGAATACTGTTCGCAAATAGTTAAGGATGTGGGTTGTTCTAGTTTTAGACCGAGCGGATGGAGTAGAGGTTTAGACCATTGCTTAGCATTCGGGAGGACGCCGGTTCGATTCCGCGTCCGTCTGCCTTGGTCCAAGTTTTTCTGTGGTTTCCTTGGATCACTTAGGCAAATGCTGAGGCAGTAATATTCCACAGATAATCTTTCATTCTCTTCTGTCTTCATTTCGTCCGTCTCATCT